CTGGAGGCCCAAGGTTGGAGATCACTGCCTTACGTGACATAGTTTTTTTTAATAGCCATGTATAAAGGCAGAGAATATTTTCAAGACGCTAATGTAGAAATCTAAGATACTTATGTTGTTCCATGAGAACAAAATAAAAGTGAATTACCTGCAATGTTAATATAGAATTGCAGCAAAAATGAAACAGAGTGAAAACAATTGCAAACAAACAGAACACACACATGCCCACACATACACACCATGGAGTAAGGAATTCTGAGAATAAACATAAAGAATGGATAAAATTATGAATACAAAAGAAGTATGGGGGTGGTGGCTATGGAGGCAGAAGAGCTCATAACCACCAGTAGCAAACACCTCCATAAGCAGGATGCTCTGGCAATGAAATCCACAATACTTCATTTACATGCAGCAAGAAACTTACATTGTTTGATCGTAGGGAAACCCGACCTCCACATCTGGCACAAAACTTTGTCCGGCAGTAGGAGCATAAATGGCCACAACCATCAGCGAACTTAGTTTTGTGACAGATTCCACATGTTGGTGCATCATCTTTGTGTTCTCCTTGGTAACGGCGGGATTCCTCACCTATTTTTCGTACTTGCTCTTTGTAACTTTCAAATTGTTGGTGCAATCTTCTGTAAGGAAAAGAAACTTTTTTATATCAAGAGCAATAACATTTATCATACACATAATTCAATTCATATTCATCATACTTATAGAATAGGACTGCTGTATCTGTGGAATCAGTAGCCATGATTTCACTTATCCACTGGCTGAAAACACTAAATAAGAAACCCCAGAAATATTTGTTTCCAGGGTGTATTATCAGAATTGGCCATTAGAGGAAGCCAGAGATTATGCTATGATATACGATTTCTATATCCAAGGTTTCCAGCACCCATGAGAGGAGGGGCTTGGAACCAATCCTCGACAGATACTGCAGTCCTATCGTACTCTGTGTGTCTTTACAGTATGGCAACCATTAATACTGTTCCAAGTGCCACTCTTGACCTGTAAAATTATATTAAAAATCCATAAATGAGACCCAAAGAGCTATTCATGTCAAGCAAGTGATCTTATCAGCATCAGTTACCAAATATAATCAAATACCAACCAGGACTCCTATTTTCTTAACAAAGAAAGTGACAAGTCTGGGCACCCAGATATCAAAGAGGTTTCACTGGTATCACAAACAGGCATCCACCCTTAGATATCTCAAATTTCTAGGAGGGTTTTTAGCCATCCCCTCCCCCACAAAAAAGCAAGGTAAAATACAAAAAAAGAGACCAATTCTTTTCTTTTGTGAATTTGCTAGATTTCCCCCCAAATTTATTGATGTTTTACATTTTATGTGAGGACATTTATAAATTTATTAAACTTTATGGCGCTGTTTTCTCACTTTAAATATTTCCATTCATGCTCTGAGGTTTTTTTCTTTACAGCATTTCCAGAGTCTAAGCTACTATGTACCAAACATCACGCATGCCAATAGGTCAAAGAATATATTTTTTTAATGGAATTGACGGTGGAAGAGGAAGAGGAGGAGGAGGAGGAAGAGGAAAAGGAAGAAGAGGAGGAAGCAGCAGCAGCAGTGATTTTGGTTTAACTTTTTTTTTGTTTTCCCCATTGCTACTAAATACAGGTACATGAGAGGAGAGATCTGCTTTCCTTCACCAACAACTGCCCAGACCGATGAAAATGGATTGAAAACCAGAGAGAGAGAGAGAGAGAGAGAGAGAGAGAGAGAGTATAACTCAATTTATTCATCCAGCAACGAAACCACACATGGCACTGCAGAAGCAATGGGGAAAGTAACTTTTCTAGACTTCAGCTCCGAAAATCCCACTGTGGCAATGCTAGCTGGGGAACTTTGGCAGTTGTACAACAACAACAACAAAAACAACTTTGTCATTCTCCACACTAAAGATCCAAGAAGCAGGAAGGACTAAATTTGAACAAAGAAACAACATTGGCATACTAATCCTTTCACCCTATCCAAAGTTTATAAATGTTACTTTTGGGACTATAGCTCTCAGAATTGAGGAGATCATGCTGGCTGAAGAACTTTATAAATTGTAGTCTAAAACTTTTTCAAATGTTGTATACTGTTCTACCTGCCTAGATGATGACGATGTGCTGTCAAGTCAATTCTGGCTTACGACAACCCTTTTGCAAGGTTTTTCAGGTAGAGAATACTCAGAAGTAATTTACTATTCCCTTCTTCTGGGGGTGCCCTTGGACTCCGTAGTTTTCCCAAGGCTAGGCAGGCTGGCTCTTCTCTGGGGAGCTGAGCCCCCCATCCTCTGGTTCTGAAGGTAAGTACTTAAACCAGTGAGCAATTCAACCAGCTTCCCTCTAAATAAAGACAAATACACTTACCCAGTGGCTTTAAAGCAAACAAAAACAAACAAACAAAACCCCACGAAGTTTTAATGCAAAAAAAGTTAAAAACCAGAAGATGCAACCACTAATTGCCTATGGAGGGTACCAAAGTCTCAGGGGGCTAGTTGAAGTCCTAGCAAATTGCTTTGTTTCTCTTAAACTCCAGGTGGGGAGGCACATCTCAGTGTGAGCAATACAAGATGTCACATTCCTAGGGGATTCAGCAGGCAAAAGTCCAATAAGCTAGTCCAATATCAGAAGTTCAGAAGATACAAAACAGATGCCAAATTGCTAAAGTACAAACCATAGTCAGATATCAGAGTCCAAAGCCAAGGGTCCACAGAGCAAGGTCCGAGATAAGCAGGACCGTGGTTGAAAGCCAGAGAACAAACTTGTTGCTCCCACAGGCTTCCAAGCCTCTGGGTACAGATTATATAGCAGCAACAGTCATCTAATTCCTAGCAAACACTCCATCCTGCTAAAACTCAGGGCTAGTCGACCTGATGTTCCTGTGGGAAACATTCATGCAAGCCTCTGACCTTCGTGTCATGAGTCTCTGCTGAAGCTTGTCCCTTACTCTGGCTAGTGGGGGAGGAGAATCTGGTGGTGATTCAGCTGTCTGATTATGTTTGCTGAGCGTTTCCCTCACCCTAATTAACCCCTCAGATTTCAGGTCTTCTTCGGCTGAACTCATGACACAAGAGTAGGAGAAAGTTTGATTTTAATGTGGATGATGGGTTTAATGCTTTAGGTGCCCTCTTCCCCACTTGCCATGGGCTCCAGGGCTCCTCGGGCTTAGCATGTTTGCACATGTATTGCACACCTAGGATTTGCTGAGGAGATAGTGCAAGAAATCTATACCCTCCCCTTCCCCAACACACTTTGACAATATCACACATGGACTCATTTCCCGTGACTTTAGAAGGGCCCACCACCTGGTCTCAGGGGATGGAAAGAAGCCTAGAACCTGACAGCTCTGCGTATGAGATGGAGTCCAGCCCCAACAAGTTGGCCCAGGAGGATCTCTGCCAGCAGTACCTATTTCAGTTCCCTCTTCTGCTCATGACTCAAACAATTCAGCTAATGATTTGAAGAGCCTATTGCCTGGAAAATCTTGGAGACTGATCCGGGATCATTATTTAGAGCTGCTGCAACCAGAATTGGAATGACCAAGATGACGTTCCACCTCCGGTAGGAGAGAAAAATGAAAAACAAAAGAAAACTTGTATACCTTCCAACCCTATTCTCACTTTGGCAAACGCTTCCAATGCAGCCAACATGTTAACATTTAGAGCTTTCTTATAACCATTGCCCAGCAGATGGCACCAGAGATTGCCATTTCACTCAGGGTTTTTTCTCTCTCTCTTTTTTTAATACTTGGGTGTTAGAAGCATCAGCATTTAATTTTGTGCCAACAGTTGCCTGATCTTAGGTTGCAAACCTCTCTTTGTAATTTTAAGAGAATATGTTCTCAAACAAACAAGAAAACAAGCAAACAAAAAGCCATCCTATACAGTATGAAGTGAAGATAAGATGCCTAGATTTCTAGGTCTGATCCTTGAGGCCTGCAGAAATCTCAAACTGTGCATCTTATCCCAAACATTTTGAAAATGGGTTGAACAGTAGGGTAGAAAATGTCAGCTTCTGCTCAAAATGAATTATTCAGATCACCTGTTCAGCATGTTGGATCTTAACGTGGAAACCTGCTGGCCATGAGCATGCCTTAAGATGCACAGTACTTCATGTTCTCACTCATATCACTCATATACACAGAAGAGATGTATGGTTTCCTCTCTAATTTCCCATACATCACATTGAACTCAGACTTATCACTTACCACTAGGTCTGATATGAGAGGGAAGAAGGAGAGGGAGCAGGAATGAATATGTATTAACCATTTCTATTGAGAAGTGTTTTGACTTCTTTCTTGAACAGAACAAAAATTAATGGAGAAATGAAGAAAGTAAGTTTTTAACAATATTTTGCATGTTTCTCTATAAAATATAACACATATTAAATCCCAAGAGTGCTTTTTAAAAAAAAACCTGAATAAGTTCCAAGTATTTTCTGAAATTCTAGAATCCCTACAACCTGAGTTTAGAAGTAGGGTTTGTAATGTGGTTAGAGTTAGGAGTTGGGTTTCATGTACATCATGTCTTGTGTTTTTTGAACCCACAGCAGGATGCAGCGTCCCTGCTACAAACCAGTGACAACCAAGTACAGTGTTGCTGTTTTTTTGGCACCAGTCTGGCACTGCCCCTTCTCCAATTGCTAACCTGCCCCAGCAAGGAATATTTTCTTTCTCATTCCATTGCATCACATGGGAAGTGGAATACAAGTGCCTCAATGGCAAAATGCAATGATTTTGCTGAGACATTTTCCTTTCAAGCATTTTGTGTGTCAGGAAAAGCAAATAGAATGTGGTCATTGCTGAAGTTCAGGTAACAATACCTCAGAGTTAGGCATTGCTTAATCTACATACTGTACTTCTGTGTGGATTCTGTATCAAAATGAGGTTCTAGGGAACTAAAGTATTTTATCCTGGTGCCTGAGGCCTAATGCAGTCTTTAAATATGGGGTCTGTTTTATATCCCACAGCACTTAACAGTTGTACAGGCTTCAGGTGCTCCAATGCAGCACAGAGGTAGGTCAATGCCAAGATTTTGAAGACACAGGATCAAACCACCACTAAGTAGCAAAGCACTGTGGGTGATCTTAGTTCAGTCACCAGCTCTCAGCCCAGACTATATTACAGGTCACTTGTAAGGACAAAATGGGAGAGAAGGGATAAGAACTATACACACTTCCCTTAGATACTTCTAAAGGAAAATGAGATATAGATATAATTCAGGTAAATGTTATTATTAATGAGTTAATTATTAATTGTTAACTAATAATTAGTCATCAATAAAGAACATCGCACAAGCTTTCTATGTGATTGCTCTGTTCTATTTTAGTGTTGTCAGTGAGAATTCCCCTGTAGTACTACACCACCTTACACAAGCACCTTACTGGGCCTAAATCCTTTTGTTAGAAGTAAGGCCCCACTGATTTCAAATAGGATTGGGGCTTAGAGATGAGACAAAGAACAAATAAACAAACAACAATAATCTAGGCAGCCTTTCCTTGCGTTTTCTCTTTCTGCTGCACCCTCCTTAAATTATTGTTCTGAGAACAGAGATTATTGTAAAGCACTCTACACTCTGAACAAGGAAGGCCTTAGAAATGAACAATTATTTTTATGATTGGAACC